TGTCGGTGGGCTTTGAAGAACGAGGTATATAACAATAGTTGCTATTCTTATTCAATGAGATGCTAATAAGTGGCCGGGTATTCTGGAGTTTAGCCAAAATATCTAGCGAAAGGTACAGACCCTCTACTAACATTGAGGACACTTAACAAGAAATTATAAAATAATATTAATACAGCTACCAAATTGTCAATTAAAACTAGAAATTCAGCTACAATAATCATATTAAATAAATTATTTGATTTAAAAAGCTAAAAATTAAGTATTTACAAAGAAAAACTGCATTATCAGGCTTTAATAAGGTTTGTAGATGTTTCAAAATCCACTAGGGTAACCTAGCCAGGTAGGTCATTTCAATGTGGAGCCCTCTAAGACCTCTAGGTAATTACTGAGACGTTAGTACATAATTTTCAATATATGGAAAAGTAAATATATTTAATTTATCTCTTCGGTCTTTTCATCCACGGGACAGATTTTGTGTTACCTTTTCTGTGGTCAAGCATAAGCTCTTTCCTGGGCTTGGCTGCCCAATGCAATGATGTGTGCACCGCTCCACTCAGCTCTACCCATTGTTCATACGGCACCGCTATTCCAGAGCGGCGCCAGAAGTCGTACCTCTTCCTGCTTTCTTCATTGCACAAAACGTTACGAGCATTTTGCAACCTAGAACAGGAATCCGGTCAATTTAATCGACAGGGGTGAACTTATGACAACTTACTTTTTTTAGTTTTAAAGTTGTAAGCCGAAAAACAAACAACGGCTTCAATATATTTTGGTCACGTATTTAACATGTTTCTAAAAAGATAAACAAATTCTTCACACCCAGTCACCGCCCACGTAATCTAACTTTTCGTTCAGGAACTTTATTTCTACTCCTGTGTGTACGATGTTTACAATGGTAAAGTACTCTTAACTTGTAAATACTGAAATAGCTGGCTGCTACTTTAAAGTATCTTAGCTTAACGAAGTAGTAAACTTGAGCTCAAATTGAACACTTAACCTATGCCGTTATGCTGCGTAGCAAATAATCAAATATGTATCTCAAAATTACGGCAAAACTTTTCTTGCCACTGTAAATATCAGTAGGAAAATCCAAAAAATACTCAAAACCTCATTCTCAGTAGGTTTTAAAAAACCCTGAGAAATCTGTTTAATTACGAATTACTGCCACAAAAGAAAGTCTTTCCTGGTCCGACATGCGACCCAAGTAAGCTTACCTTTCGAACAACTTTGCCGTGTTATGATCACCAGGGTTTTTGTCCGGATGAAGAAGTTTGGCCTTTTGTCGGAACTCTGCGTTAATCTGGTCCGTGGAAGCTAGTTCATCGCAGCCTAAGAGAGCGTAAAAATCATCTTTTTTGATTTTGTTGATCAACACATCGAAGAAGTCTTCCATCTTCGGACACCAACAAACTTTCTCATCGACGCAACAAGCAAAACAACAATAAAGTTCTTCATTAGGGGAGGGGATGGTCAAAAATAGAAAAATCCATGCTCTTACATTTTTGTCCAGATTTAGGAAGATTTTATTCCAACAGCATGTTTAAAAAATAAAATATTGTTTAAAACTGTATGCAAGTACTAAAAAAGACACAGGAAGAACAAATCTGTTTATTGTAAATATGTTTTTTTCTGAGGGTATCTTACCCTACCCTAGTCAGTTTTAAAAGGTGACATATCACGTGGTCACTAAACGTTGAGTCAAAAAGATGCAGATATTTTTCGCTGTGCTACTTCGAAGTTGATGCAATTTATGTGATCAAATGAAGTGACTCCTTAAAGAAGGGATGGCGGAATGCCCCGAAGGTGCTAATAGTACTGTTACAGTTACTGAAGAAGCGACCGAGAGTCCTTCGGTATGTACAACATAGTCTTTATTGACATCTTTAACTCAAACCAAAGTTTAGCGAAAATATTCTATGCAGTGATTTGAACCATCAATAATTTCTTTTCGGGCGCCTGTCTTTTCTTCCACCCTGATCTACTAAATGGGGTTACTAAAGTGTGTTGCATTGTTGTGTTATGTTCCCCTTGCATGATTAAGTTCAGCTTAATTAAGCTAACCGGCTCATATGGAAATCACGACCTCAAAATCTAATTGTGGAAGCTTCTATTCATAGCAACAGAGGCTTGTACTGAAACTTAAAAAGCCCAAGACAGAAAAGAAAGTACAATGGGATGAAAGTGCTGTAGACAACGAGTTTATGGGAAAGAAAACATCAAAATGTAGGTGGAGTTTTAAGCTTACATATGTAGGTAGTAAAATAAACATTAATTTTTGTGGGACTATGCAATTATTGTTGTTGGATTATGCAATTATTGCATAATCCCATTTAGTATCACCCAACTAGTGGACTAATGCAAATCCAGCATTTTGATTAGCTATGCTACTAGAGGACTATTACTAATAGTCCTCGAATAGCGAAATTGGCGCAATCGAGCGTGACGCTTTCTTTCGTTTTATTCCCAAATAAACATTTCTTTAACTTGCATTTGCTAACTTTATTATTGTCTTTTCTGTCCGACTAGTTGGGTGATACTAAAACAATTAGACCCTTCGCCCTCAAGGGCCACAGGTCAATAGCCCATTCGGCTTCACCTCATGGGCTATTGACCCGTAGCCCGCAAGAGCTACGGGTCTAATTGTTAAATAGTCGGTAACTATATTGAAAGTTTGAGGGCTTGATGAAACCTGAGAATCCCTCCCCCAATGAGAGTTCCTAGTTAATGAAGATAATGAAAACTCAAGATGGAATCGGATCGTGACTAAATAACAGTATATTTATTTCACATGAATGGAAATGATTATGTTATTGCTGATACAGTGTTTGGGTTCCCTGTGCTGGGTACAAAAACACAGACTGGTGATATAACAACTGTGTCTCATCTGATACGTGACAATATGTCATCTAAAAACATACCAAGTGTTACACAGTCACTTTTCCACAGCCATCTTTCATGATCATAATTTAGCATTGTTGTGGAATATTCCTTGCTCGTTTCTTCATATATTTTGTCTTTAACAAAGTGGCCAGGCCACGGTCATTCTTAAATAGTATGCCTTCATAGCTTTCTATCTTCTTATTTTGTGTGCAAGCTGTCATATCAATCTTTAAATATAGCAACACACAATATGATATCGAGGACAAGTGACATAACACATGACCATCTTTGCATGCGGGTCATCCACTGTCATGTCTTCGCATTCGGCAGCATGACGGCCCTCTGGAGATTGGCAAGTCAGCTGGCAAATCATTTAAGCGGCAGATAAATAGCCTGTGGCCTAGGCACTTTGTTAAAGACAAAATATAGGAAGAAACCACTTAAAAATATTCCTCAATAATGCTAATGTTTGTGAAAGATGACCGCGGAAAGGCAACTGTGTGACACTCGGTAAGTTGTTAGATCAGATGACATGTTGTCACGAGAAACAGTATTTATTCATTTTGTACCCAGTCTACAGTCTACATTAAGTACCTAGCATGCATTTTGTACCCGGTCTGCAGTCTGCATTTTGTTCTGACCGATTTTCAAATTTGTCAAGCGTGTGCTTATGTAAACAATACCAAAACTAAGCATAAGCCCACAAGTACACATTTCAGACCTATTTTTTTTCATAATAGCTAAGGGGATGGGACAGGGAGCTTTTGAGCTCCTCCCTGTAACATTTAGGCCCAGTTCCCCCACCCATTCCTTGGTGGTGACCCAACTATTGATGCATTGTTGCTAATTAATTTCAGTCATCGATTTTTCTTGGGCTCTTGTCTCTTTGTTTACCCCACTTCCAGCCCTCTCATCTCCTTCCTCTCTTAGAGCTGCCACCTTCTTTAAATATCCAAGTTTCCTACCCCTGTTCCCCTTGAATCGCTATTGTGCTACATCCATGTAATTATTTGGATCTCAGATGCCCCTTGCATTGCACAGAGGAAGAATTGAATGCTTGAAGTCAAGACTAAGAGATGCTATTTACTCAGGCTAGCAACATCATTGGATCAAGTTATTACTCTTCTCTCATTGTAGGCTGCTGTATTTATTCCAAGCCAAAGATGTTTGGAGACTCCTCCTCAGAAAGTGATAGTGATGACGAAGGATGTAATCATAATGCTTATTGTACCGGCCACAAAAAGAAAGGTCATCGCAGTCATCACCATGATCATGGTGACAAAGGAGAGGGTTCCTTGGGGTTGAATCCTGACCCAAGTGCTACATAAACAACACCTCAAGACAATGAACCTTTTTCCAGAGAAAAAGTCACATAATTTAATTTTTAATTCACAAGAAATTATTTTGTATATTTTTTTGTACAGCGTAGGTTGCAAGGCAAAATGAAAGAGTTACCAGGGTGCAGGATAGAGTAAAAAGTTAGAAGTGTTCTATGTTTAGTTAGAGAGGGCTTTTGCTCGTTTTTAAATTCTTGATTTTTTCTTTCACAAAGGTTTCATTCCAAGGGGTTGCGAGAAAGGTGAACAGCATAAAATTATGTTAATTTCTTTGTTGTTCCCAGTTGTGATAATAAATGTAAATTTAATCTTTCTATTTAAAAACAAAATATATAATTGTATATGTATAGACACCAGAAATATATATAGTGTAGTGCCCTACAAGCTAAAAGCTGACAATTTCAGAGATCATGCTGACTGCAGCACTAAGTACATGTTAACAAGTGCTTTTTGGGTCAAAATTATTAGCTCATAATTCCCTTTAATAGCTTCCTGAAATTGATCACAATTAAAATTATTTTCTGCTTACTTACTGGACTGTCAACAAAGATTTTGTTCTTGAAACACGTAACTTTGTATATTGCATATTCATAAAGAAATTAAGTCCCATCTGCTTGTGGCTTTCTTTGAAATAAACTTAGATCAAACTTCAAATGCTGTTTTCTTTTGAATAATGTAACATAGGCATAGTACAGACATCTAAGATTTGCCCCTGTCTCTGTCATGGAATGCTACTCTCTTGTAGCATTGTGTGACAGAGACAGGACCAGGACTCGACTAAAGGCAACATTACATCTAGTCATAGCTTATCCTGTGCATGCATTGCGAGCCTATAAAAAACAGCGCTCTTATTTACATGCTGGAAATGAGCCAAAGTTCCCAAGAATACAAAACACTGAAATGACTTGAATAACTGGCCAATAACTGGTGAATAGTGATAAAATCAATGTTCAGACATTTTGTGAAGAACACAAGTTTATTTACCTCAGGCTGTGCTATGTTGTTTCTTGTATAAAGTAAGTTTGAGTTGTATTTACAAGTGTTACAAGCTGGTTGAGTCTTACAAGAATAAACAGCAGCAATCTATAGCAAGCACAGCTCACTGCAGCAAAATTAATAACAACAGAAAGCATAAGTCACTTCCCTTTTTTGAAGCACACTACATTCATAAGAGACCAAAGTGTCATGTTTGCATGGAGAACTGGAACTGCAAAAGTTATTGAAATCCAAATTAACTATTTTAAAAAGCCTCTCTACTGGGTAAATCTCCTAAAACCACTCATTAAAATCATGATGAAACACCATAGCAACACCACAAAACCCCAGGTAATAAAATAATTTTTGGACTTGTTGACTGATTTCAATTCAATTTTCATTCCACTGCTTCTCCATACGAACATTTCATTAACTTTACACACAGGGCTTGGTAAAAACATGGTTTGAAAAATTGCTTTGTGTTTTTTTAACCTAAACGTTGTGTTCTAATGACCAGGTTTATTATTTTACTCAAAATGCTCCCACAATGGAAACTATTAGACAAGTGTGATTTTGATAATGATTAAATTACTTCATTTTAACTAAACAGCTTGGCCACCCACGAGAAAAACCAAAATTCCTTGGCTGACTTTTCTCTGACCATAAAACTGATCAAATAAAAAATGGCCAACTAATACTTCAAATATGCTTTTATCAACTTATTCTGCAGAATTTTTTTTTTTGCACAACAATTTTCTATCAACAGCACTTAGTTATCAAAATCTACAGTGTCCTAAATTTCCCTGACTTTGACAAGAAAAGTAGACTTCTGCTAAAATAGATACTGCACTTCATAACATTTTCCCTGTCTTGTGGCAACAGGCTGTCTGTTTGACCAGGATATGCTGGAAAGTACTTTGTTAATAGCAACAGCAGCAAATCAAAACTCTCCTAAGCTTGACTACTGTGACAAAAACATGACACCAGTGAGGAGATATTGGGATTTAAAGATTCACTAGGCAAACTTTGATTCCTGAAAGTTTGAAAAGAAACAAACTATTTTCGTTCACTCTTAACCTTTGTCTTTACATTAACAATTTTGCGCTTCCGGGGGTATTGTTAGAAGAAGGTGATAGGAAGGTAACGAATAAAACCCCAAAAGGAGCTTATTAGACAAAAATGGACACCCCTCAAATGACTGTAAATTGTACAGTTCCCGATGTTTAAAAGCTATCAAAATGAAAAAGGTTCTTTTGCAATATTATGTATTATAATTATGCCAATTAAGGCTCTATGATAAGTATGATTACATAGAATCCACAAGAACTTGACTTCTCAAAAATTATCAAAGAAAATTTAGGGATGTACTACAACAATCTCCAAAATAGTTGCAAAATATGTCAATGTTAAAAAAGTCCCCCTCACCTCCCAGTCAGTTTTTTCCTGAAGTACCCCCTCTACCATCCCCACCCAATCCTTGGGTTCTGGAGGATTCTGAATAACTGATACAGTGAAACACTGTCTTATGGCCACCCCATTAAAATGGCCACCTCGTTATTATGGCCACTTTCTTCCAGCCTGAACAAAAGCTCAGTTAGTCATTTTCTTAGCTAAAGAACCTTTTTAATTAATATGGCCATTAATACGGCCTGTTGGTGACCAGATTAACAGGGTTCCACTGTACTTGTAAAAATTTTTGCGAGTATCCTGAATGTTTCAGGTCTGGGCTTGGTTGTTCAATGATGATTATGCCAATCCAGAAGTGCGAATTTCGATTACAGTTTTCTAACAGTTCAGTGAGGTTTCCTGTTTATATTTTCTGTTCTCCAGTTTTGACATCAACCAATCTCAAGTTCCATACAACATTGGCCATGCTTATGCATAAGAAACTTAGAGCTCAAATTATCAAGTTTTAACCCTGGAATAATGTCAATTGCCTTTTGAACAAGCTAGGCTAGTAAGTAGTTTATTATATGGCACTAGGGCCATGCTTGTTTTGAATTTGCTGGCTTTCGAAAACAACAAATACACAGCTTACGACCGTTTCAATGGAACGGTCCATATGGCAAAATCCCGACCAAGAAAGAACCAATCAAGACTACCTTGCCATATATAATAATACTGTATATATCAGGAATAATGCTGAAAATATTTCCTTGATTAAACAACCAGGCACTTATTTCAATTCTGAGATAATATTATACTTGGAGTAAACCTAAAATAATTTCTTCAGCCTGCTTTTAGAGAAAGGGGTAAGTTTTCATTTTAAATTACATCATCTCAATATTATTATATTAACAGAGCAAAAATTATTATTGACCTGGCTGGGGGTTGTTTATTCAAGAAAATATCAAGACTTGTGTCATTTATTTATTGATTTTTTGGCTGCACTTTAAGAGACATTTTCTCTAATATGCACAAAAAATAATTTCTTACAACAAAATACCTAATGCAAACCCTTCTTTTCTAAAAACTGTCTTAAATTATTTTAATTTTCTGTTAGATCTAAAACAACATTACATTGCCAAAAGATTGCAATCTTAAACTAGACATCTTAACTTACATAAGACTGTTATTTATGACTAATAATTCTTGTTGTAACCATGCATACAAGTGGTGTTTGCTTGCAATTGCTTCTTTGATTGAAGAGCACATCATCCAATGCTTAATTAGTATCTGTTTGTCCAGATAATTGCATGCTTGTTACGATCACAGCTGATGATGCTTGAGCCGTCAGGGTGCCACGCACACACGACTACTGAAGAACTGTTGTAAAAGTAACGAATATAATAAGTATCATGATTTAATTAATAAATAATTTGACAGTCAAACATCATGATACTATTTTCTATTTTAAATTCTATTCTTAAAGATTTTTTAAAAATTATCTTTAAGAATATTGATTATTGATTAAAATCAATACTCCACATTTTGGAGTCACCATGATGTATTATCAAGAAAAACAATTTCAATTGGTACTAAAGTGTTTGCTCAGCCATCTAATTAGTATGTTAATTTTCAGCTCTAGCCCACTTAAAAATTCACTTTCTTGTACTTATTTTCTCTTGGTAATAGCGTCACGATGACACCGAAACGATGAGTATTAAATCTTCCAGAAATTTTTGCACGTCTTTGTTTTAGCAAATCTCTTTTGATTAAAAATTCTATTCTAAACTATAATCATCTTATGATAGACACTTGAAACAAATGCTTACCTGTGTTCTTTAAGAATCTTGTCTAGCTTTGCTGTTGCTGCATTCCAAACAAAAATACTACCATCATGAGACCCACATATCACATACTGGCCATCAGGACTGGAAAAGAAATTAACAATATTAGACTATGAACCAGTAGCTGGTAGTTGCTTACTGAACACTACCCTTTCGGGTCCCAACTATTAAGTCAATAAAAATTAACAGTGAACACTCTTGACTAGTTATTTTAGTATGAATGACCCAAGGATCGATAATATGGAGCAATACCCCGGGGGNGCTACGGGTCTAATTGTTAAATAGTCGGTAACTATATTGAAAGTTTGAGGGCTTGATGAAACCTGAGAATCCCTCCCCCAATGAGAGTTCCTAGTTAATGAAGATAATGAAAACTCAAGATGGAATCGGATCGTGACTAAATAACAGTATATTTATTTCACATGAATGGAAATGATTATGTTATTGCTGATACAGTGTTTGGGTTCCCTGTGCTGGGTACAAAAACACAGACTGGTGATATAACAACTGTGTCTCATCTGATACGTGACAATATGTCATCTAAAAACATACCAAGTGTTACACAGTCACTTTTCCACAGCCATCTTTCATGATCATAATTTAGCATTGTTGTGGAATATTCCTTGCTCGTTTCTTCATATATTTTGTCTTTAACAAAGTGGCCAGGCCACGGTCATTCTTAAATAGTATGCCTTCATAGCTTTCTATCTTCTTATTTTGTGTGCAAGCTGTC